CGTGCAGCCATTTTCTGTTTGGACTGTAAAGGACAGTTTCTAAGCTATGTCTCAGCTAACAAATGTAAGGAAATACATTCAGAAACGCTGAGGATCACCTCACTTACTGTTTTACTTCGAGCTGGGCAATTGGTTAGCATTTACAACACACTGACTCGCCTATGGTCTCTTCTTACTACTTCTCTGACCTCGGCTGGGTGGAGTCTGGGGGGGCGGCAGGGAATGCAGTGCACATGGACTGACTGCCGAGCCTGCGTGGCCCACCTGAGCTTCGTTCTAGTTCCTTCTTTCTGGCTGGTGAGTTCTTGCTTTATTCTCTAAGCAGCCGACCTTTTGAAAAGCCACTGTCAGAAAGAGAATCATGCTCAGGAGCTGTCTCCAGTCACCAAGCCAGATCCTCTCCTTCCGTTGTGAGCTGAGGACTCATCTGATAACTCCGAAACATCAGATTAGTATTGTGGTGGGGCCGGGGTGCACCAGAGCACCAAGTGGAAACAGTCCAGTGAATTGTCAGCCTGACACACTCAAAGCATTTGCTAGTGTGTGGAAAGCAGACTCGGTAGAGAGGCTGGTGGTGAGGGTTTGAGAGGGGAAGACCGCAGACCGTGAACCGTGCCTACGCTGGCGGAACTCGCGCCCATTCCCAGTGCCTTAGGAACAGACACTCAGATGAGGAATTAAATGTATAGCCACTGCACCCTTCATAGCCACTTGGCGACATTTGACATCGTTTTTCAAGGGAGAAAATGTGTTCAATGTGAAGGACAAACAGTAACTAAAAATTATGTGGTCAGCGGGTTTTCTCTGCCCATTCTGTAAGCCTAGGAGCAGAGGGTTGGGCCCCAGAAAATTGCTATGAAAAAATCAGAGAACCTCCTCTAACCAGCCCTTCACTGAGCAGTTCTGGATTTATGGTCGTAAGTCGTTTTGGCCTTCAAAGTTGTATTTTGGGTTTTCTTCTGGTGATAAAAGGGCTCCATGTTAGCAGAGCTTTGTGTTTGATTTAGGTCAAGAGGAAAAACATCCAGAAAACCAAATGAAAAGCAAAACACATGAGCTTCTAAAGAACGTCCATGTTTATTTGACATAGTTTGACCGTACACATCTCATGCCAACACACAGGAGGCAAATACAAACAAACGCACCAGCTTCTGTTCCAAAGTCACATGGCAATAAATAAGGATAGGCGGGTCCTTTTTTTTTTTTTTCTTTTTTCTTTTTTTTCTTTTTTCCCAGCAAATGAGACTTCATTTCTTCTCACTGTACAAAATTTACACTGTGAAGGGTGAGGGCAACAATCCAGAGCTTAGGGGAGCTGGGGCTTTGAGGTCTGGATGCAAGTTCAGAGCCACACCTGGGATCCTGCAGCCTCGAACCTGCCCGCTGGGCTGCACGCAGTCCTCACGGGGGGAGTACAAATGATTCTTGTCTCTAGGTGGGCAGCAGATGAGAGTGGGTGTGCCCTGCCCTGTCCACCTGCCTCCCTAAGCAAAGGAACGCTTGGCACACCTCCAAGCCTGCAGCTGTCCCCCCCCCCCCCCCCCCAGAGCTAGCAGCATGAAACTGTGCTTTCGTGGGCCTACCAAGCAGAGTGTGGGTGGGATGACTTTGCTGAGCTCTCTCTTTTTGGCTCCTGTCACCGCGGGAGAGCAGTTGGAGCAACTACTGCAGAAAGGGCCAACTGACCAATCCAAGAAAGAGAGAGCCAGTGATGTGCTTTTTATTTAGCTTTCAGCGTGCCCAGAGCCCTTCAGCAGCAGGCAATAAAACAGAGCTCATTTCCGCTTAATTGAATTTCTCTTCGTCTCACGGTTTCCAATTTTTAAAGTGCAATGTTTAAAAATGAGCCTCCTCGGTCCTTCCAGACCCTGCTGGCTGAGGAGGTATGGTCATTATTTCCATGGTTATAACCAAGTTGTCAGTAGTGGCGTGGGAGGGGCGGGTGGGGCGTGGGTGCCGGCGCACGTTGCACAGCGTTTGCTCAGCTGAAGCCTTCAGCCCACTCCTGCAAGGAGGCAGTCACTTCCGAATAACCAGCTTGAGCCTCAGAGATGCTCGTCTTTCGTTCTACAGATTCCTTATACTTCTTGCAAAGCGAACTTAATTATGAAGATCAAATGGCCCCCCAATTATCTCATTAGAGTTCATGTTTTATGTCGGAAAAAAAAAAAAACCAACAAAAAAAAACTTAAAAAAAACACAGCTAAATGCTTTATGTGTCTTAGTTTTGTCCTTTTCCCCTGACGCTTCACTGTATTCGTTTACAGGAATAATGTTATCGATATGGTAGTTGATTTTCACTTTACATTATATTCAAAGTGACCAGATGAGGCAAGAAAGAAAGCACAGAGACAGAAAGGAGCTGGCCTTAGGCTGCACAGCAAGGGCCAGGACCAGTCTTCGCGACGATGTGAGTTACCCAGTGGGCCAGCTTAGCCCCTGCATTGGGTATTTCTTCTGTCGTTTTATTACTTTTTAGGAAATACAGATTCTTCCCTAGCCCTGCAGGTCACATGGTTGGTTATACCAGCTACTACTGGAAACATGGGTGTTGCTGGGCTTTTTAATTATGAATTTGCTCCTGGATTCAGAAACCTCCTACCCTAAGGTCTGTCAGCCAGGGACTGCAGATGAATGTGGCTACTTAATTGCTCTCTCAGAGCCAAAGACAGGTCCAAATGATGTAAACTGCTCTGGACGGTCTCATTTCATTTTTAAAAGTCCTCTGTGTCACTTTAGCAAGGGGATCAGGGCTCCCGGGCAGCACCTCAGCCACAGACCGCGGAGCAAGAGGACTGCCTGGAGGAGGAGCTCAGGCAGTGACCTCCATCTCCCAGCCACGGAAGAGGCAAAGAGCAGTCTTGACATGCAGTGGCTCATTGGTGGCCCCAGCCCATCCATAATGCTAACCCCACTTGCAAGGAGAGCCCCTTAAAATCCAAGGCCTAGCGTGGCTGTGCTTCTACTTGGGGTGCCTCTGGGGAGGTGGCTCTGGGGACTCGGCGACCCCCGCTGTGTGGCCAGTGCAGCTAGTCAGCCCCATCAGAACCCAGGCCGCTCCGCCCGCACCAGCCGCAGAACATTCTGCTCTGTTCTTAGTCCGATGGAGGAAGGCCCCCTTCTCCCACATTGGGGCGTGAGCGTGATGAACTCACATACAAAACAAAAACTGGTCGACTGATCTTAAAGGAACAGTGCTACGCAGAGGGGCACGCTCCTTAGAGAGTCTGCTCCCTGTGCCACACACAAAGCCAGCAGTGCCCCTGGTCTCAGCAGCTCCTGTGCCACGTAACCAGGCTGCACAGTGGTCCGGGGGACAGTCTGTAACTGGTCCATTGCCCAGCACAGCCCTTCTCCTGTGCACTGCGAGCTGTCTGCTGAGAACAGTGTGTTCAAGAATCTGTCCAAAAAGACAGCGGCACGTGCCTTCCCTTCACGGGGCCGTGACCTCCCATGTGAGTCTCCAGCGCCACCCTCCTGCTCGGGGGACTGGGACTCTTCGGGGCTCCACCCTCCACCCTCCCCACCCCTGGAGCTCCGGAAGAGCCTCCATCTGCAGACCCCCAGGCAAACATCAGGACAGCTGCAGCCTGTCCACAAGTAAGTGTCCACTACACAACCAATCAGAGAACAGGCGGCCTGAGGCTGGTCCCAGGAATGTACGGACTGTACATTTAGAAGAAGCTTAACTGTCCAGAGTTTAGTCCTGAGAAGGCGTTTACAGAGGATGCAGCAGCCAAGAGGAAGGTGTATTTCTTCCTTGAGTCTGCCCAGCTCACACTGAAGTCTCTGCGGTCCTCAAAACGTGACAGGCATGGAAGAAAGAGTCTTTAGGGTCACGTGAAAGAAAGGCAATGCCTTCTCACCCTCTCCTGCTCTGCTGATCGCATTTAGGAAAACAGGAGGCCGGGAGAAGCACACCACCTTCCCCAGGGCATTGGAATAAATTCCCCCTGGCTGACTTCTGGGGTGCACATGGAAAACCTCCTAACAGACAGGGGTGGCGCGCAGGGACCATTCACCACGGTATTTCCCACCCAAGTGCAGGGCTGGCCGCTCACACAGCAGGGGTTGCCCTTGCCCTTGCCCTTGCCCTTGCCTCGGGCTTGGGGATGTGCTGTTGCAAACCCGCAAGCTGAAAGCTGGCACTGCCACTGGCCAGAGAGCTCCCCTTTCTGAGCAAGTGCAGGGCTGGAACACCACACGGCCTGGCATGAGGCCAGCCAGCAACCCAGACACCGGAGAGGTGCGTGCAGCCCAAGGACCACTTGGAACCTTCTGGACAATTTTAAGGCTGCTCCCTAAATGACTCCTTCCAACCAAGATGGGCCAAAAAGCACTGCTAGTCCTTGGAAGAGCCAAGACTGTCCTCCAACTGAGTCCGCTAGCACAGCAGAGAAAGCTCTGGTCTGTAAAGGGCTGGGGAGGGCTGGCTGCCGGCGGGGGTGGACTTGCAAACTCATCTAAACCAACTCCCTCAGAACAAACTCCAGTATCATTCCGCCCTGCAGGAGGGGCACTCGGGGAGGTCGGCATCTGCCGATTTGGCTGAATGGACTGCACGTTTGGAATCCAAATGGGTCTACAAATGTTTTCACTGATTGTCGTTCTGGTCTCTCCATATTTTGATCATTTTGTAACCCACAGCCTGTCTGGTGGAGTAAATGATATGAGCAAATTAAAAAGGCACATTGTGCTCCGAGGGGACTCATCGGGCAGTCGCTGTGATGGTCCAGGGCCACTCAGCTCCAGCCTCAGAGTCACCTGCAACAAAAGCCACTTCTTGCCATCAGGGATGGATGCAGTGATGTGGATGGGATTTCTCACAAACCCAAACTGACAGATACTCTCTGGCCTGGACTTCTGGAGAGGGAAGAAGTCATGTTTTCACAGCAGAGGAACAAGGAGGGGGGGGTTCAATATCAAACTGTGGCCATCCAAGCTTCCGCTGACCTTTAATAAGTGACCTTTTTATTTTGAAATTTAGGGTTCGATAAGGGTGGTCTGGAAATCACATTTCTTATGTTTAAGGGCTGTGATGTCTCTGCCTCAGGAATCTCAGCTCTGGCGAGAGCAGTGGTTTGGGAAGCATCTCATGAGACACACCAGGTGGAGCAGAGTTCCCAAAGGCCAAGGTGGCCTCCCAGGCACCTGGGGCTACCAAGCATGGAGCAGCCAAAGCCTGCAAGCAGGGTGGGGGAGGGGGCCATAGCAGCACCCTAGCGCTCGAGGCTCTGCGCCTGTGCAGTGTTCTGAGCAGAGGCCGCACCCCCATCCTCTCCCCAGGAGAACAGTGCCCTAGGGTGGTGCCCTCCTAGGGATCAGCAGAGGACTTCCATTGAAAATAATGGAAATTCACATTGGCGCACTTTTGATCCTAAAAAGGCAAGTCTCTTTTGATCCTTGAAGATACTCTCTCAAGCCAGAAGGACAGGTAGGTCAGGGAGGACAGATGCTTAGAAAGGAGGATGGTCCATTTCATCGAGCCAGGAGGCTGGGCTAGTTGGAAAGTCGGGACAGCCTACACTGCTCCCGGTGGAGATGTCGGAGGTGGGTCCCCCGGCCATGGCTCTCAGCGTCTGGCTCACTCCCTGTCCTGCATGCGCAATGATGCCCAAATTACTGTCCACCGTGTACTCCAGCCCATTGAGCAAAGGAGCGTGGGCTGGCAGGGACGATATGGAGGATGGAGACTGGGGGATTCCATAGGGGCTCCCATCCCTCAAGTCCTGATAGCATTGTCCTGTCCCGTCCATGGAGAAGCTCCCATTCATTAACTGTCCGCCTGTGACGTCCCCCACGTTGCCATAAATCCTATTGGTGTGGCCAAGTTCTGAGAGAATTTGATCCTCTGTGGACAAAAGAACGGAGATTTATTGTCAGCGCCAGGACTTCCGTGGCCCCGTTTTTCACAACCTAGGAGCACACATGACCAGGAAAGAAGCCGGAGGACGACAGCTGTCTCGCTGCCAAGCAGGGGTCAGATACCAATGCGACAGTCAGCCTGACACCCAGAGACTGACCCAGGTCAAGGGGGAAACACAGAAGAAACACCTGCAGGGACTAAACTCCTAGGACCCAGAAGGCTGGACAGTTTGGTGAACGTGTTGGGCCCGTATTGCTCATGTACTAAGATACTCAGGCTCTACGGAGGACCGTGAAGGCCTTTCATCACGGTGGAAACCTCGTGCTGAGCGGGTTTCATCTGAAAGCTTTCAGGCTGAGTCAAGTGCTTGGGTTGGTTGGCTGGGAAACAAGCAGGCCCAGAGGTAAGGGGAGCTAAGAACCACATTTAGACCTGGGTACAGTGTCCTTCTGGTCTACCTGGGAAAGCCATTCAATATCAAAGGACTTGGTTTCTCTACCTAATAAGGTCTTCACTTGGGACAGTGTTGACTTGATTAAGACAAATGGACCTTCTTGTTTCTTAGAGAATTTCATTAAGGGGAATCTAATGAGATCTTTGCCACCTGGAAGGAGTCATCTCTCCCACAGAGGTGTGCAGTTTTTAGTCTTCAGAAATACAGGAGAGAGCAGTGATGTATCATCTTGGGGACCCACCTGCACCCACCAGAAAGGAGCTACAAAACAAGACTGACCATCCTTTATGTTCCTGACGTTGATTTCAGCAGCTCAAATGAGATAAAGTAGCTCTCCCAACCCTGCCAAGAGGCCCAGGAGGTGAGCATAGGCCCCTGAGCCGTCCCCAGGGCCCCAGGAGAGACGTCCAGGCTAAGCTCCAGTCCCCTCGGGTCATCATGCTCCTGGGGGGCAGCTGCTCCTCTGCCCCAGAGACTTTTCTGTTCCCACCCGGACCTGTGCATCAATTCCTATCCAGGCCTCCCCGGACTGGCCTTCAACCCACCCCTTCTGACGACCTGCCCCCATTCCGCCCATGAATTTGAAGAGGAGGGCAGAGGAGCCCATGCCCTTTAAAGGGGCAGGAAGATGAAGGCTCAGCTCCAGTAAAATGGTCACTATTTGGCCTTTTGCCTACACCTGTCGTCTCATAGGACCAGGGCCCTCTGTGGGAGCCACAGGCTCCCCATGAGGACAACTGGCCCTTCCAAATGTAAAAGCGCTGGGCTTTCCCCACACACATCTAGAGTCCTTTCTGTTCATTGATCCCCACAACACTGTGACATGGGCAAGGATGTGGATACTCCCCATGTAAAGGTGGAGAAACTGAGGCTCAAGAGAAGTGACTCACTGTGACAGAGCCACACTGAAACTCGATTTCTGACCCCAGCTCAGTACTGTCCCTTCCCCCACAATGAAGGCCTTCCACATTTGAGGACTCCGTATAGGAGAACAGTTACGGCTACGTGCAAACAGCCTAAGGACTCAAAACCTGCAGTCATTTGCCATGTTGCTGCTGCACCGACTTGAACTTAGCGCATGCTGCAAAGCGGCTGTGCCTGGGGGTGGGGCAGGGTGAAGTGTGCAGAGGGGAGGGGTTCCACGAGGCTGGTCTCCATCTCCCATGCACTGCCAGCAGTGATTTCCCAGGGCAAAAGGCCTGGGGAGCCACCACCAGGAGAGGAGAAAGGGGTCACTCTAGGGGATCCTGGGAGGGAGCCAGGGCCCCTGCAGAGGGGCTGAGGGCACAAGCTGAGACCCAGCTCTGTTCACCGCTGCATGGCTGGTGAGGGAGCCCCCAGTCAGCAGGAAAGGAGGGGAGGCCTTGGGGCTCATGGTCCTGGGGAACCCAGGTTCCACACCTCAGCAGTAGAGCTCTCGCTTTCTTAAAGGGCCACTGCCACGTTCCCCCACCCACTGCTGCCAGTCGCAGGGGAGCGCCTGTGTTCAGGGGGGTTGTCAAGGCCTCAGGAAGGTCCCTCCTGAATGTCAAGGATCACTGCTTCGCAGAGGCCCCTCCGAAGGCCTGGGCATCGCCCCTGCAGCCCGCTCACCTCGGAAGCTCAGCTCGCTGTCGCTGACCCCGCAGTCCTCGGCGGAGCTCTCCTTCTCCTGCTTGCTGCCCGCCCGGCCCCTCTTGACGCTCTTGTAGAACTGCCCCCAGCGGTGCCGCCCCGCGTCCTTCTTCAGGCGCTTCTCCTTGGCCCTTCGGTTCTGAAACCAGACCTGCCACACAAGCACAGGGGACACGCTCGGGGGTGCCCACCCGAGCCCGCAGCCCCCAGCGTCCCCGAGACAGGTGGCTGGCGACAGGGACTGAAGCCTCAGCATCAGCAGAGTTTGAGGCCAGAGTGTCACGTGCCCAGGGCTCCCTCTGCTGAGCCTCAGAAACCTCTGTCCGATTTGGCACATCCCCAGGGTCATGGCCCCAGCCCAGCTTCCCGGGAGGGTCAGTGACAGGTCCCCGTGCCTCCTCACGTAGTGGGCAACACAGTCTGGCCCAGAACGGCCTCCGTCCCTGCCCCTGCCCCTGCCCCTGCCCCGGCCCCGCAGGGGTGGCGCTGGGCCCCAGATCCAGGTGGCAAAGGAGTCCGGGGCGGGTAGCCGGCGCCTCACCTGTACCACCCTCATGTCCAGGCCGGTCTCTGAGGACAGCTGCTCCCGCACGTGCCTGGCAGGCTTCGGGGAGTTCTTGTAGGCGTTCTTCAAGGTCTCCAGCTGCTTGGCCGTGATGGTGGTCCGGGGCCGCTTAGCTCCTGCCTCCGAGTCATCTGCAACGAAAACCCCTCACTGGGTCTCGGCCCGTCTCCTTCCCTGACGTAGTCCTGCCTGCCCTGGGCGGGCAGTGGGACGAGGGGTGGACGGTGGGTGGAGAGGCCCGCACCCTGGAGCCCATGCTGCCCACAGGCCTTCCGATCACTGCCAGCTCCCTGTCCCCTGCCAGCCGACAAGGCTCTCGTCAGCCTGGAGGGGTCCAGTCCCACACATCTCCCTGTTACGTCTGATACTCTGGTCGGACATCCTTGGGAGTTATTACCGGCGCTGGGAAGGTAACGACCAGAGTGAATGAGGTCTGGGTTCGGGGCTGCCCAGGGCCGGCTTCCTCCCCAGGGCTCCCTGGGCTCATGGCAGGGGTGGCCCGCAGTCACTAGCCATCTACAAAATGTTCGTAAATTATGGGTCAGAACCCACTGCTGGGTTGTAAAGTCCATTCAGTGGATTAGAAACTTTTGAGGAAATGAGATGGACAGGCTGGGCTGGGGTAGGTGAGGGCAACTACTGTTTCGTGAACCTGGTTTCCTGTTCGCTGCAGAGATGTGCGTGCGAAGTTGAGATGACGTGAAATGAGTTTCTTACTATGGACCACAGTCCAAAATTTGGGGGGAAAATACCAGCCATGGGTCAAGTCCACAACTGTGTCCCTGCCCTGTGGGCCCTCGCTGCTCCCTCCTGTGCCCTCAAAAGGGTCTCAGCCGCATTCCTGCCTTCCTCTCTCTGTTTTCCTTCCTTTCCATTCAAGGAAACCCGTCTTAGGAACAATCATAGAAGCCAACATGGTGTGGCTCAGTGGTTGAGCATCAACCCAGGCACTAAGAGGTGGCCAGTTCGATTCCCGGTCAGGGCACATGCCCAGTTGTGAGCCCAATCCCCAGCAGGGGGCATGCAGGAGGCGGCCAGTCGATGTTCTCTCTCATCAATGTTTCTCTCTCTCTCTACCTCTCCCTTCTTCTCTCTCTAAAATCAATAAAGGAAACAAAAATTTTTTTAAACAAAAAAACTTTAAATTTTGTTTTAAGAAATCAGTCCTTCTGCCCATATTTATAGAGATGCCAGTATGACAGCACCTGATGTGAATATAAAATAGCACACTTTTTAAATACCTACACAGTCTTATTCATAAAATGTGAAAGAATGAAACCACCAACAAAGTTCAATTCATCGAGGATTGCTTAATTGTGAAGCAGGGCACCCTGGTGAGTGAGACGCTGCCTTCACCGCGGCCAGACGGCAGGGCCGGGGACCCCGGCACCCTGGCTGGAGGCGCACGGCGTCTGCCCTGCTGTCTACGTGCACAGGGCTCTCTTCTTGCGATTATGGGGGCTATTATGCTGTTATTTTAACATTCACTGTTATTATAATTTAAAATCTTCTTTATATCCTATAACAATGTCATCCAAGTATTCATTAAGTAGCAGTGGTCGTGCTCGTGCTGAAAAATGTACCCAAAAATCAATAACTTTGGTACGGAAGTTAAGTGTGATAAAACGCTACGAGGAAGGCCAAGCAAGACCATGGTACCCAAGCTGTTAATTTAGGAGAGAGCATTCTGCGAGGTATTAAGAGAGAGTGCTGAGAAAATAAAAAGTAGCATTAAGGCAAAGATACATTTCACCGGTTATGGATTTATGTACATCCCTCCCTTACTTTTTACATTAATTCCTATGGGAAAATTAGCCTTATAATATGTTAGTTTTGAATTATGCAGGGTCTCCTAGCACTTGTCCCTGGCACAAAACGCAACTCATTATGTTGAAAATGCAAATATCCAGGGAGATGTAATAAATGAACAAAATCATTCACACGAAGGTACAAATAGCTGATATTAAATCCTTTGTTGTAGCACGAGGGAGGGGACGGTAAGCCTGAAAGAGGTGTAGATTAGCGGGGAGGAATTAAAACGTAAAAAGAAAGAGCCAAATGTCCCAGAGCAGACAGAGACCCGCTGCCCTCAGCATCACCCCGATTGCCCAGGGTGGAGGAGCCACGGCCCCTGCCTCGCTGACAGCGGAAACAGGAGGAACCGTCAGAAATACCGCGTAACCTTCGGCGCCTCGGAAACCTAACGCGGCTCCACCTGCCGGTGTGCGTGTCTCCTCCACGCTGGTCTCACCCTCACTAACATCCCAGCCCACCTATGGTCTCCTATTTACACCTCGGGAAACAGCCCTGTGTGGCAGGCGCTGCTGTTCCCCATGGAGAGCTGAGAAGGGACCTCGACTGAGCAAGTGACCCAGCAAAGATGCCCACCAGGTTCTGACACTAAGTCCAGTGTGTCGCCATGGTCCCACAGAGGTCTGCTGCGCGCAAGTAATCGCCTATGTTAGCCCCGCTGCATCGTTCCCGCCTGCCCAGCGGGCCTCCCCTTCCCTGAACCACCCACGGCGGCGGTGGACACTAGGCCAGGAGTGCTCAGGGCCCAGAGGGGGCCCCTGACAATAAGCAGCAGCCGCCGGCCCCAGGGGAGCTCGTGCAGGCTCAGTATCTAGTGAAGGGCATCAGAGACCCCAGGGCAGCCTGGGATCTCGCAGTCCATCTGCTTTGATGGTTTATCCCTGACAAGATGCCCTAATCTTCCGTGACATCATAATTGACTTCAAAGCCACAGCATCGAGTGAGTCGTAAGGAACGGGAGCGGATACATACATTAAGGGAGAGCGCCTGGGGAAGGGTTTATGGAGGCCCTGGGAAGAGGAGAGGAGAGACTACAGGCCTGTCCACCCCGAAAGGCCGAGCTGGGGATGGTGGGAGGAGAGACGGGAGGTCCCCGACTCAGCGCCCCCGGAACGCCTCCCCACCTTCCGCCAAAGCCAGGCTGGGCTCCAGCTGGCTCACCCTGAGACCACTCTGCCTTCTCACCACTGCAAACCCTTTATTTTGAACTGCATGTATTAAGCAGAAATCTAATGTCTCCATGTAGTGATCAGATCTGTATAACATACGTGTGGGGGCCCAGGAAAGTTCTAGAAGAAGAGACATGAAATTGTTCATTTTTGTCCTCCATCAAGCCCAGAGCTGTCCACGAGAGCTGCTGTCCACAGCGACCCCCTGGGTTGGTAGAGACCCCAGTCGAAGGCAAACAGCCTTGGTGTCTGTGGGTACGCACATCTGAGACGCCCAGGCTGGGTTTGGCCAAATTTGGAGCCAGCTGTGAGGGGCCAGGGCGGGCTGCAGGACGGGCAGTCGAGCTCGGTCTCTCTGAGGGGAGCTCAGAGGAGTGGGGGGTCCAAGCCCAGTCTGGGCTCCGGAAAGACCTGGGCTGCCCAAGAACATGGCATTGGAGGGCAGGAGCAGCTGCTGCCTCTCTGCCGGGTGAGGCGGATTTCCCGGGTGTGGCTGTGAAATGCTGGGGCCTGACACCAGGGTCCACCTGGGCTTCTGCTGCAGACCAAGGACATGACCCTGAGGTGGCCGGGAAGGGTGGTGGGTGGGGTGGGGGTCCCAGCTCAGTTGGAGTCTCCCTGAATGTGGGCCCTTGCTCGAGGGCTTTGGGGACGTGAGGAGTCATCGGCCCTGAGTCCCTGCCTCTCCGAGCCCACGGGCTGAGAGGCGAATGGGGCACACTGGGTCTAAGCTGACCTTCCAAGGTGACAGGCCAACGCTAGGGCTCTCGCCGGCTAAAGCCTTTGAAGTGTGGGGGTGCTGAGGCAGGAGTGCCCCCAATGTACAAGGCCAAGGAGCAAGCCCCAGGGTCCACTGTAGACGGAACACCCTCCCAGCCCAGCCCCAGGCAAGGGGCCACCGAGACAATGACACAGGTCCCTTCCTGAGCCGTGTGGATGACAGGTGCGCCCTCGTAACCACACTGGATTACAGCGCCCGCGAAGCCAGCAAGCGCTGAGGGGCTGGGGCTTGAGAACGGCCTGTCCCTGTGGAGACAGGGGTGGCCCTCCGAGGAGCGGTGTGAGCAGCTGAGGGACTCGGGCACAGGCCCCAGGAGGGGCCCCGGCACCCGGGGCGGCGCGTGTACCGTTCTGCTTGGCCGTCTCGTAGTCTTCCTTGCACACCAGCCGCCCGTCCTCCATGAGGTAGAACTCGTCCCCCGTGGCCAGCTGCCGGTTGCAGATGATGCAGGCGAAGCAGTGCAGGTGGTAGACGAAGTCCTGCGCCTTGCGGACCACCTGGGTCGGGGGGATGCCCTGCTGGCAGGCCGTGCATTTCGTGCCGAAGCGCCTGTCAGGGCGACACGGAAGGATTAGGGCACGGGGGCTCTCCGGCTTCGTCCACTCCCCATCGGCCCCTCTCCCACCCCACCACTCCGGGGTGTCCACGGACATCAGCCCCCGGGCCACCCAGTGCTTGCCATCTGGTCCTCCGGCCTCCAACTGGCCTCACGGCTTTGGGTCCAGGCTCTTGAACCACAAAGTGAAGGGGCTGGATCGGAACAAGAATCCCCAGTGCCTTTCAAGGGCTGACACCCTAGGGCTCCCAATGGCCCTATTAACACCCAACAGTTCCCCGGGGCTAAGTCCCCTCGAGCAGGCGGGGTCACCGTCCGCCTGCTGGCTTCTCCAACTCTACAGTGAGGCCTAGGGGACCGGCCCACGGGTGACGGCGCGTGCCCACGCCACTGTGCGGCCGGCCGCCGGCAAGCTCCTCGCCCAGGCGCCCCACAGAGGAGCGCGTGGCCGGGACAAAGTGCGCGTGGTGTCCACTCTGGAGCCCCGAGACCCTGCACTTGGGCAAGAGAGCGGGCTCTCTCTCCCCTCTGCTGCCTCGCCCCTTCATCGGCACGACCAGAGCCCCCCCATAGCCTCCATCCCCTCCCTTGCACAGCCCGAGACGTGGTCGAGGTGGGCCCAGGAGCACACTTATGTCCCCGCACCAGCCAGGGCAGGAAGTCTGCAGGCCTGTTTGGAAAATGCTGCTTCAGACCCCTCCCTGGTCTCCACCTCTCTGGACCGGCTCCCAGGCGAGAGGAAGGGCATCCGACGCCCTGGCCGAGGTGAGGGAGGGAGATGTGCACATCTCAAGAACAGAGTCCGGCGGGTCCCTTATGCTCCTGTCCCCATCTGGCCATGGACACAGAGCCACACCAGTGGCCACAGAGGTCAGCAGGGAATTGGGGCCAGTGAAGACATGGCGATGGGGGGCACTCCGCTCCAGGTGAGCCTTCCCCGCTTCAGGAGGGAGGCGGGAGGGGTGTGGGAGGCAGGGGCAGAGTTTAAAACAGCAATCAACCTAATTATTCATGACATTTCACACAGCACAACTTTATCTTCTTCAGGATGAAAGACTTCGCCTAATGGATCTGGGGAAGGTTTGATTTTAATGGTCCTTTTAACTAATGCTTATAGGCAGCCTGATTTCCCCTGAAAGGACAGTACATATTTCATCCACATTAATACCAAATAAATTAATTATGGTCGTGGCTATCATGATGAATCCCAGATTAATGCAGAATGATGGGCCTCTTATGCAGTAATGATACCTGCTGGGGGGCCGGAGGGGCCTGGAGCAGGCGAGGCCCGCTGTGGTTTCAGAAGCCCCCTCCCAGGAACATGTGTCACAGAGAAAAATGGGGGGTCTCTAAGTCTAGATGAGTAACCCCGAAAGAGCCAGGAGTGTGGCCCGGGGTCCTGCTCTTCTGAGAGGAGACCTGAGAAGTGTGCTGGGGGCTGAGGCGTTGGCCTGAAGGCCCGCGGGGCTCCGAGCTCCCGGAATGGCTCTTCGTTCCGCTGGGGGAGGAAGGATGCACGGGGCAGGCAGGACAGGGCTCTGTAAACCATCCCAAGTTGTTCAAAAGCATGTATCTGGGGCGGGGGTGGGGGCTGGGCTTCCAGCAGGTTCTCAAAGGGGTCCAATCCCAAGACTTAGAGTCAGCATTTATTGAATCATAAATCAGAGAATAAACTAGCCTGTCTTCAGGGGATGTGCACAGAAATGGCTAAATGTGAGTATGGAGAACAAAGTATGCTTTCAGTTCTAGAAAGTTCTGTACCTTCCAGGACACAGATGAGAACCAAGCTTCCTCAACACCCATTATCCAATCACATTGCCTGTATTACAGAGGAAGGCGAGCAGGCACCAGCTCTGTCCTGCGTGGGTGTGTGGGTGCACGTGGGTGTGCGTGGGTGTGCGTGGGTGCACGTGGGTGTGTGTGGGTGCACATGGGTGTGTGTGGGTGCGCGTGGGTGTGTGGGTGTGGGTGTGTGTGGGTGCACGTGAGTGGGTGTGGGCGTGGGTGAGAGTGTGGGTGTGCGTGGGTGGGTGTGGGCATGGGTGAGTGTGTGGGTGTGCGTGGGTGTGTGTGGGTAGGTGTGTGGGTGTGAGTGTGGGTGTGCATTAGTGTGTGGGTGTGCGTGTGTGTGTGGGTGCGCGTGGGTGAGTGTGGGCGTGGGTGAGTGTGTGGGTGTGCGTGCGTGTGCGTGGGTAGGTGTGTGGGTGTGAGTGTGGGTGTGCATTAGTGTGTGGGTGTGCGTGTGTGTGTGGGTGCTCGTGGGTGAGTGTGGGCATGGGTGAGTGTGTGGGTGTGCGTGCGTGTGCGTGGGTAGGTGTGCGTGTGTGGGTGTGGGTGTGCATTAGTGTGTGGGTGTGCATGCGTGTGCGTGAGTGTGTGTGTTTGGGGGAACAAAGGGGAAGGAAACCTGGACAGCATGTGTTACCAGAGTATGTTTTCAAAATGCCTGTAGTTTTTGTATCCAGTCCAGGCCAATTCCCACAGCAGGTGTTCAGAATAAAACAGCACCTCATCATGCTCACTGCAAACCCCCCATATAAACCCCCAAAACCCAGGGTGCACACGTGGAGCCAAAGCAGCCCCAGAGAAGAAGTGGAGTTCTCCAAAAAGCAAGTCCTATCTTGTCACCAAAAGGTGGGGGTGGGGCAGAGACCAAAGTGGGGGAAGGGCTGGGGGGAGACTCCAGGACAGGGCAGACCCCCCCACCCCGGAGCCTCCCCCACACAGCGGGCCACACTCTCGCCACCACGAGGCAGACGGTGGCTTTCAGTAACCAGAAACCCAGTTGACACCAGCGCCCCAGAGACATGAAAGATAACGGGGGTATAAATTTAATCTACATACCGACAGTGATTCATGCGTGAGGGTGGCAAGTGCACAAGAAAAATGAAAAATAAATGGACTTTTCCACCAGCGTTTTTTAGCAATTGAAGCAATTTTCCTGATTGTGGGATTTATACCGATGGCAAGTGGAAGTTGCTCTTATTACCTTGCTCCTCTGGAACACAGCCAGTGGGACCCTTGATGGGGACCAAGTGCACTCCCTCGGCCCACAGGGCTCCCCGCATGGGCAGCCCCAGGGGCACCCCACCCCACTCACAGCCAGTGGACCTGCAACAAGGTGCTGTCCTGTGGGGCTGTGTATGCGACCAAGACACTGGCTCGGAGCCTCCGGACCTCGGGCCCGCCAGAGCCACAACCACCGCCGGAGAGGCTGCACAGCGTCCGTGACAGGCATCGTGAGCCGGCCGTGGTTAAACCCCTGGTCCAAACGAGGTCTCACTGTGAGCTTGGCTGCCACACAGAAGCAAGTCTAACCAACCTGACCAAACATGAAGGGTGCTGGGTGCGGCCGGGGCTGGACTCCCCGGGCCATCCCCGCACCCTGTCTGAGCACCGGCTGTGTGCGGGCCCTGCCGCCTGTGGTCAGCCCCGTGGGAGCAGCCGGAGGGTCGGCATCACTGCCCCCAGACCAGCACCACCGGCCACGCCCCGGCCCTGCCAGTGTGGAGTGGGCAGCAGGGGTGAGTGCGTGAGCCCTGGACTCCGAGCACGTGTCCGAAGCCCTCGGGGAGGACTCAGCCGCAACTCCTATCGGAAGCCCTTCCAAGAAGGGAATTAAACCTGGCTGACAGGAGGCCCCCGGTGTCCCAAACACAATTACCTTCCCCCTTGCGGTCGTCACCACACTCATGTCACACAGGCCACCTGAGTGCCCCGCCTGACAGGTGATACCTTCCAACAGATGAGAAACAGGCTGGGACTGGAGGGCCGGCCGCAGCTCACACCAGCAACGAGAGAGCCGGTTTGAACTCGGAGCTCCTGACCGAGCTGGCACACGGCAAATGGCCGCTGAGAAGGCGGCCCGGAGCCCTTACCCTAGGCTGGAGCTTGAGTGGAGGGCACTGTCCCCTCCAGTGTCCCCAGCTGCTCTGAGCCACTGAGCATAAAGCTTCCAGCCCTGAAATTCAGGGGCTGCCCTGGGAACCTTCACCTCCTGGGGTGTCCACCCCAACACACCCACAGTCACACCCCACTCACTACCTTCAAGCTCCTACAACTGGATCAGGAGTGGGGGGCCTGGGCCTGCTGGCGGGGGACACCAGACATCACTGTGACATTCCGGGGCTGCTCCTGACCCCGGGAAGGGGCCAGGCATGTCCTTGTGCTCAGCCTGAGCTTCCCCCTGCCCGGACACTTGTCCACCCCTCCTGCTCTGGAGCGGCCTGGAGGGACCACGCTCGAGTGCAGGGTGTCTAGTCCTGCAGGAAGCGCACTGAGCAGGCCTGCAGGCACCACACCCTCCAGAAACAGGTGCACACAAATCATGCGCCACAGGTGTTCTGGCACATTCCCGGCTTCAGGGTCTGTCCTGTGACCAGGCCAGGTACCATATTCTGGTCACCGAAACTGGACTGATGAAAGCAGCTCCCGTTCACCAAGCACCTGCTGTGTGCCCCATGGGTACACGATCTCACTTACCCTCACCATCAACCCTCAGGCCACGCCCGCTACCCTCCTGGTGGTCACTGCCACCCAGCACTGCCCCCTCATCCCTGGGTAAGTCAGCTCCTGGCTCACCATCCCCGTCACTGTCCCTCCTGCCGTCACCCCCTTCCTGCCCCTACCCTCTCAATTCTTTGACCTCTTCTCCGGGAGGTCACGGCCTCCATCCTAAGTCACCCACTCACTCCCGCCGTCTTCCACAGACCGCATTGCTGCCAAGCACAGCGGCTTCTCCGGGAACAACGTCCAACCTTCCCAGGTCCAGCCACCGCCTCCTGTCCGGCCAGCTCACCCCCTGAAGCACCCAGATGCTGGGATTCTGCAACCTGCGGGCGCCTTCACCCTTTCACTGACCCTCACCCCCCCTCCGGGCCTCGCTTACCTCCTTCTCCAGCTGAGAGGCAGAGGTCCGTCTCACCAATCCCTCCTTACACACTCAGCTCCCTACCCCAGTGTCAGCCTCCACCGTCTCCACCGTCTCCACCGT